GACAGTAATAGGGGAGGGGTGTGAGAGGTGGGGGATGACAGGGGTAGGGGAGGGGGGTGAGAGACCAGGGATGACAGGAATAGGGGAGGGGTGTGAGAGGCAGGTGGTGACAGGGGTAGGGGAGAGGGCTGAGAGGCGGGGGATGACAGGGGTAGGGTAGGGGGAATGAGAGACTGGGGATGACAGGGGTAGGGGAGGATATGAGATACTTCTGACAGAAGGGGAGTGGGTGGGTGATGAGAGACCAGTGACAACAGGAGAGCGGGTGAGCTGTTTAATCCACTCAGTTTTTGCGTAAAATGCATATACCTTTTCATGAGGTTTTGCAAGACCACGATCAAGCCTGAAACAGCAGCTAGCTATGTTCCAGCCTCTATTTTGAAAGAACGATGATCTAAAGTTGTGAAATAGCCGATAGCACTCACTCAGCCGCTGCTGCCTGGACATTCCCACTGTGGTGGTCTCAGACTCCCAGCTGGGAAGCTCTGCCAAGGGCCTATAAGCCTGCACTTACACACTCACCGGTTTGCAGATAGGCTCAACTGTCTTCAGCATGTATGGAAGAAAGATTTCTAGGAGAGAATCCCGAACGAACTGCCTCCCAGCTGACGTACTGTCAGAGTCAAACTTCTACAGAGGAAGAGATGACAAGCTGATTACTGACCAATCCCAGCAATCAGAATTGGGTCACAATCTTCGATGCTGAAATACAAATCCTTTCCGCGATATAAACACAAAGAGGAATTGAGTTAACAATTCAAGTCCAATATGGCTCCAATTTTCTAAGTCACACCAGTCTCAAAAAATTAACTCTGTTTCTGTCTCCACAGATACTGCCAGACCCTTGCTGAGTTTCTCTGGCACTTTCTGTTTTTATTTCAGATTGCATCCACAGAATTCTGCTTTTAACCTTGCCGTGATGGTTGGCTTATCTACACAAGGCAGCCTTACATTTGACTGCCTCCTACTAACTGGTCAGAATGTCCTAGTGGTCTCTCTTTATACCCCTATTGAAACGACGTGCTCCCTCTCTAAAGACACCCAGACTTGGGCATAACCGGGGAAGAGGGGCAGTTAATCAGGTATCATGTGCCCCTCCACGTGCCCGTTGCCTGAGCCTGTTAATGACCACCTTGACCGAGCCCAGGACCAGACCCACGACGCAGCCTTCCAATCTGCCCATCCCCTTCTGTACTGGGTGCCCAACGTTCCAGAAGGTGGGGTTGAAATGCAAATAAAACTTCAGATTTACACCCTTCCAAAAAAAACAACGAGAGGGACACTGCAGCCTCACACACACAATCGCTCTTTCGATATTTTCCCAATCAACCTGTTCAGCCGCCTTCTGGAAAAGGTGAGACATGAACCAGGGCCTCCTGGTTCAGAGATAGGGACACCATCACTGGCCACAAGATCACCTCAATGTTGGTGAAGCCTTTTGTGGAGTACTGTGTCCAATTCGGGTTGCCCTTTTGTAGGAAGGATATTATCAAGCTGGAGAGGGTTCAGCAGAGATTTACCAGGATGCTGCTGGGAATGGTGGGTTTGAGTTATAAGGAAAGAGTGGATAGGCTGGGACTTGTTTCACTAGAGCATAGGGAAGTTAAGGGATAATCTTATAGAGGTTTATAAAGTCATGAGGGGTGTAGGTAAGGCAAATGGTAGCTATCCTTTTCCCTAGGGTGGATGATTTCAAGACTAGAGGGCATATTTTTAAGGTGAGAGGGGAAAGATTTAAAAATGACATGGGGACAATTTTGTACACAGAGAGTGGTTTGTGTGTGGAATGAGCTTCCAGAGGAAGTGGTGGATACGGGTACAATTACAACATTTAAGAGACATCTGGTTAAGTTCATGAATAGGAAAGGTTTGGAGGGATATGGGCCAAACGCAGGCAGGTGGGACTAGTTTAGAACTGCACAGCACAGGAATGGGCCCTTCAGCCGAACATGACGCCAAATTAAACTAATCCTTTCTGCCTGCCCTTAGAACATAGAACATACAACACAGAACATAGAACATAGAACATAGAACACAGTACAGCACAGTACAGGCCCTTCGGCCCACGATGTTGTGCCGAACTTTTACCCTAATCCTAAGGTCTATCTAACCTCCACCCCTACCTTATACTACCATCCATATGCCTATCTAATAGCCGCTTAAATGCCCCTAATGAGGCCGACTCCACTACCCTCTCCGGCAATGCATTCCACGCCTCTACCACTCTCTGATTAAAGAACCTACCTCTGACATCTCCCCTATATCTACCTCCACTCACTTTAAAACTATGCCCCCTCGTAACTGCTACCTCCACCCTAGGAAAAAGACCCTTGGTCCATATCCCTCCATTCCTTGCATATTCACGTGCTCATCTAAAAGTCCCTTAAACATCCCTGTTGTATCTGCCTCCAACACCTCCCCTGGCAGCTCGTTCCACACTCCTACCACTCTCTGTGTAAAAACCGCCCCTGACATTTCCTTTGAACTGCCAAAGTGCAACACCTCACACTTACATGGGTTAAACTCCACCTGCCATTTCTCCACCCATATGTGCAACTGATCTATATCCCGCTGTATCCTTTGACAACCTTCTATACTATCTACAATTCCACTGATCTCTGTATCGTCTGCAAACTTATTAACTCACCCGTCTCCATTTTTTTCCAAGTCATTTATGTATATCACAAACGGCAGAGATCCCAGTACAGATCCCTGTGGAACACCACTATGCATGGACCTCCAGCTTGAAAAACAACTTTCCACCACAACCCTCTGGCTTCTATGGGCAAGCCAATACTGAATCCATGTGGCCAAGTCACTGTGGATCCCATGCATCTTAATCTTCTGGATGAGCCTACCATGAGGGACCTTGTTGAAAACCTTACTAAAATCCAGGTAAACAACATCCACTGCTCTACCCTTATTGATCACCTTCGTTACCTCCTCGAAAAATTCAACCAAGTTAGTAAAGCATGGCCTGCCCTGCACAAAGCCATACTGACTGCCCCTGATTCGGCCATGCTTTTCCAAATGGGTCTAAATCCTATTCCTGAGAATTGTCTCCAACAGCTTCCCAACCACCAATGTGAGACTCACTGGTCTGCAGTTTCCTGAATTATCCCTACTTCCCTTCTTGAATAGAGAAATAACATTAGCTACTCACCAGTCATCTGGGACCTCTCCAGTGGTGAGCAAGGATACAAAGATCTTGGTCAAGGCCCCAGCAATCTCCTCTCTTGTCTCTCTCAATAACCCGGGGTAGATACCGTCAGGCCCTGGGGACTTATCAACCTTAATGCTCTTCAGGAGATGCAACACTACTTCTTTCTTGATTTCAAAATGCCCTAGCATATTAGCCTGCTCCACACAAATCTCACTATCCTGCATATCCTTCTCCTGGATGAAAACCGAAGCAAAGCACTCATATAGGATCTCACCCACACCCTCTGCCTCTAAGCACAGTTCCCTTCTTTATCCTTGAGTGGTCCTACCTTCTCCCTAGTTATCCTCATGTTTTTAATGTATGTATGGAATGCCTTGGGATTCTCTTTAACCCTACTTGCCAAGGTCGTGTCATTGCCCCCTACTTGTTCTCCTAATTCCCTGCTTGAGTTCTTTCTTGCATTCCTTATACTCCTCATGGGCCATGTCCAATTTTAGCTTTCTAAACCTTACATACCCTTCCTTTTTTCCTTCTGACTAAATCCATAATCTCCCTTGTTACCCAAGGGTCCCTTACCTTGCCATCTTTGTCCTTCCTCCTTACTGGAACACGTTGGTCCTGACCTCTCATCAGCAGGTTTTTAAACAATTCCCACATGTCAAATGTGGATTTTCCTGGTAACAGCTCCTCCTAATTAACACTCCCTAACTCCTGGCTAATACTTACAAAATTTTCCCTACCCCAGTTCAGTACCTTGCCACAAGTTTAGTTTGGGATTGTGGTCGGCATGGACTGGTTGGGCAGAAGCATCTATTTCTGTGCTGTATGACTCTACGACTCCTTTTACACTATTTTAAGAACTCATAAAGAGAAATAAAGCCAAACTAGTAAGGAATAATCCTTTAAAGGGCAAATAAAACTCTAGGAAACTTACTTGATCAAACTAAAATGTGATTCTGGAAGCTGATAATGTACTCCAGTTCCCTTGGCACTAACTGACTGCAGAAAGTCTCTTGTGCACCAGAGAACACAGCCTGCTCCCTCTCCAAGGCTAACCTGGTGCAGATGTAACCAAACAATATCCTTTCATACCATTTTGATTAACCAATTTAACCAAAGCAGATTAAATAAGCAGGAGACAGCTTTGCAGAGAGGCACTGAAACTAAACATAACTCGAAAGGAGAGTTACAACATTTAAACTGAAATTTGATCTGGGGGACTGATCATTCACTCCAGCCCCTGTGGGACCTACCAGTCTCAGAAGGCCTGAGTCATTCCAACACACACCATATGATTCCACTCCAAGGTCAGCTTTATTAGTGCACCGAGCGTTTTATTGAACGATGCTACTCACCTCTGTATCTTGACAATATAAAGGAACATACCATCAAAAAGCCAGAGCAACAGGACATTGGATAATATCTGTTGTCTCGCTCACGAACAACAAATGGGGATTACAACTCCCTCCAGTTCACACAGTCTTGAAGATATTATGATGGGACCCACTCACGCTATGAGCTGTACAATCATCAGTCACACACCACTCACGCTGGGCAACACCTACCTTCAGTACTCGCACTTGTGTGTTGTCGAGACGTTGGCTAACTTCAGCAGAGAGCCCAGTGGCTGGCTGCGTAGAAACTAACAAGTGCTGAAAGGTATAAACTGCATCTTCCAGCAGCTGCAAACAGAAGACAACGAGAGAGGGAATGCATGAAATGGGTCCCGTGAGACTCACACCGTTAGATTTTTGTTTCCATTCATTGATGTCTCATTGATATGGTCAGCAATTATTGCCCAAACTTAACTGACCTTCAGACGATGAGTCAGCATAGTCCTTGTGTATATACACCCACAGTGATGTTAGATGGGGAGTTGTTTTCCATTTGTTAATGGGATTTGGCCATTACAGGCTAGGCTATCATTTATTGCCAATCCCATATTGCTCAGAGGGTCTGAGTCTGGAGTCACATGTAGGCTAGACTGGGGAAGGCAGATTTCCTTCCCTAAAGAGCATTAGTGAACCAGATGGATTTTTAACAGCAATTGTTGCATTAGACTAGCTTTTTATTTTAGAGATAGTAAGAGCCTCTCTGCTCCTATGATGCTGCATGGCCTGCTGTGTTCATCCAGCCCTGCACCTTGTTGTCTCTTTTTATTTTAGAGTCTGTTTTTAAATTCAAATTTCACCATTTGCTATGTTGGGATTCGAACCCATGTCCCCAGAACATTCAGCCCCTCACGTTGAAACTGGCCCTCTGAAACAGCCAAACAATCAGACCCACAATCTCTCATTCTTTCTCCATCATTCTGCAATATTTGCTCTTCAAGCCTTTATCCAATTCTCCATGGAAAGTTACAAATGTGTCCATCAACTTTTCTGGCAGCGGGGTCCAGAAATTTGCTGCTTGAAACAAAAAAAACTCCTCATCACGGATCCCAATCTCTGCTTCAACAACACCTCTGCTGGTACAAACACTTTTGGTTCATTCATACTGTCAAATAAATAGAATTTATTTAATAATTATTGCATGCTTCTGTGAAATCTTCCCTTAATCTTCCATATGTTTATAATCTCACCTTCTCTGTGAAACTGAAACTTTCCATCCCTACTCACATTCTAATCAATCTCCTCAGCATCTTCCGACAAAGTCTAAGGTTTGGTACTTAGAATTTTTTTAAAAATCCCATCATGGGATGTGGGCATCGCTGACTGGGTCAGCATTTAATGCCCGTCACTAGTTTCCCCTTGAGAAGGTGGTGGTGAGCTGCCTTCATGAACTGCTGCAGTCCTTGTGCTGTAGGTGCACCCACTAGGAAGAGAGTTCCAGCATCTTGATCCAGTAATACTCAAGGCAATGTATTTCCAAGTCAGGATGCTGAGTGGCTTGGAAGGGAGGGGAACTTGCAGATGATGGAGTTCCCATGTGTCTGTTCCCCTTGTCCATTAGGATGGTAATGGTCATGGGTTTGGAAGGTGCTGTCTTGAGAGCATTTGTGAAGTTCTGCAGTGTATCTTGGAAATGGTACACACTGCTGTTACTCAGCATTGGTGGTGGAGGGGGTGAATTTTTGTGGATGTGATGCCAAACAAGCAGGCTGCTTTGTCCTGGACAGTGTACAGATTCTTGTGCGTTGTTGGGGCTATACTCAATGAGGCAAGTGGGGAGTATTTCATCTCACTCTGACTCAGGCCTCATAAACAGTGGACAGGCTTTGGAGGGTCAAGAAGTGAGTTACTTGATACAGGATTCCAAGTCTCTGACTTGCTCTTATAGCCACAGTATTTATTTGGATGGTTCAATTCAGTTTCTAGTCAATGGCAATCCCCAGGACGTTGGTAGTGGGGACTCTGTGATGGTAATGCCACTGAATGCCAAAGGACAATGGTTAGATTCTCTCGTTGAAGCCTGGCATTTGCATTGTGCAACTGCTATGTGCCATTTGTTAGCCCAAGCCTGGATATTGTCCAGATCTTGTTGCATTTGAACACAGACTGCTTCAGTATCTGAGGAGTCACGAATGGTGCTGAACATTGTGTAATCATCGGCAAACATCCCCACTTCTGACCTTATGATGGAGGGAAAGTCATTGATGAAGCAGCTGAAGATGGTTGGGCCTAGGACATTACCCTGAGGAACTCCTGCAGAGATGTCCTGAAGCTGAGATGACTGACCCCTAACAGCCACGACCATCTTCCTATGTTTCAGCTATGACTCCAACCAGCAGAGAATTTGCCCCCGATACCTATTGATTCCAGTTTTGCTCGGGCTCCTTGACATCACACTTGGTAAAATGGACACAATATTCCAGCTGAGGTCTAACCAATGATTTTGAAAGTTTCACTGTAACCTCATGGCGCTTTTGTTACATCCTTCACTTTGCAAAGGCTCAGAACAAAAATTAGAATCCTGCATTTTTTCAAAATCAACTTTCCCTGCTGCCTTCAAACTCTAAAAGTTTGGATGTGCCCTTGTGAAAATGCAGCTGCTCCCTGAATATTCACCCAAAGGTTACATCTAAGCGCTGTCAAGAGTCAATAGCACAGCATATTCTGCGGAATGCTTTCTTTGCCTCCGTTGGTTGTGTTTTCATGTCTGAGTCACAAGATTCAGAGTTTAAGTCCTGATCCAGCAGTTGAGTGGAAAAATCATGGCTGACACCCAATGCAATCCTGAGGAAGTGCTGCACTGTCAGAGGTGCCGTCTTCCACATGTGACGTCAAACTGAGGGTCCACCTTCCCGCTTGGCCTGAAGTTAAAGATTCTTGGCACTTTTGGGGAAGAGGGAGGGAGTTATTCCTCCTGCTCTGCCCACTATGTGGCCCTCAAAGGACACGGGAAAACCAAATTTGCCACCACAGCCCTGCTGAGGAGAGCTAGCCTTGTGTGAATGGGCTGCTGTGTCTCCTCATTATAACAGTGACTACACTTCCAGTGGCTGTGAAGCGTCCAGTGATTGTAAAAGGTGCTACACAAATGCAAGTCTTCCTTTCATTTTACTCTCCTGATCTGGCAGAAAGGAGACACTCGGGAAGGGACAACTCTTTCATGCAGAGGGTGGTGCATGTATGAAATGAGCTGCTGGAGGAAGTGGTGGAGGCTGGGTACAGTTACAACATTTAAAAGGGATCTGGATGGGTATATGAATAAGAAGCTTTTAGAGGGATATGGGCCGAATGCTGGCAAATGGAACCAGGTCAGATTGGGATGTCTGGTTGGCACGGATGGGTGAACCAAAGGGTCTGTTTCCATGCTGTACGAATCTAATAAGAAACTGAACCTACCGTTAACTTTGACCGAGTCAGTCCCCCAACAGGAATGAGCTCCATGGCTTTCACCTGAGAGGCTGTTGATTTACAGTAACCTCCAGAACAATGGCTGGCTCGCCTTTGTAATTCAATGAGGTTTTTTAAAAACTTCCTTAGTTTCATCTAATTACATCCTGTTTTCCACTATTGAACAGTGTGTGCATGGTTGTGTGCAGGTTAATCTATTTTGCGTGGATTTATTTCTGCAAGTGTAGGTTTATATATCTGCGAGCAGGCTCACGTGTGCTCTGGCATGACATTTGTGCACATGTATTTGTCTGTGTGCGAGTGTCAATTAGCCCATCAGTCCCTTGTGTGCAGGCATGTGTGATTGTCTGTGTTTGTATGTCTGCGTACATAGGTGCACATGTATGTGTGTGTGGTTGTGTGTCT